ACACATACAGAGCTATGGGTAGCTTTCCTGCTACCTTAAATCAAGTGCTGATAATATCATATACTACAGACACAGTGGTTTTCCTTGAATGGCATTTTAGCCAATGTGGTCATGGACTGGTCATCATAGTCACTATTAGCTTTCTTTGAAGCAGCTGCCATAGAAGCTGGGGTCATGAAGCTTTAACTACAGAGAGGGATATAAGAGGCATAAAAGTTTTAAAAAGAGTCTCTGTAATATAATTGGGCACTCTTTTGTTCTCTGCAATAATATTTCCTGGAAATCATCAAAAGGAAAATGAGAAGGATAGTATCGTCCAGGACTGCACGCACTCAATGTATTTGTGGACTACAAAATAGGTGAAAGAGAGCAACTAATGAACCTTGAAAAGAGAAAAAAGACCAACATAAATTATGATAAAAGAGCAAAATAAAATAACAGAAACTCAAAATAATGATCACTATGGAAATGAGAAAAGAAAATGAACAAGGAAAATTTAAAGAAAAGATAATGACAATAAAAGGTAGAAAAGAAGTTAGAAAAAGATGAGTGCTTGAAAGATAGAGTCTGGAAAAGGAGAAATAAAGGTACTAATATCAAACACAGGAGCTCTGGTAGCATAGTAGCTAAGGCACTTGATTGCTAACCAGAAGTCGGGTGGTTCAAACCCACCAGCAACTCCTTGGAGTAAGGTTGGGCAATCTACTTCCATAGTGATATCACCTCGGAAACCCAAGGAGGGGTCGCTATGAGTCAGGTCTGACTCGATGGCACACAACAACAACAACAATATCAAACACTAACCACGTACTAGAAAATAATATAGGTTGAATTATTGTATAATCTTAAGGTGGGAAAGGTTTTCCTAAGTATAGTATAAAAACCAAAAACCAAACTCACTGCCCTCGAGTCGGATCTGACTCATAGCAACCCCTCTTTGAGGCAGTATCTCTACGGAGGTAGATTCCCCAATCACCTTTCCAAAGAATGGGTGGTGGGTTTGAACCACCAGGCTTCTGGTTAGCAGTCAAGTGCCTTTTGGCACTATGCTACCAGGGCTCCCGTCACCTGTATAGAGCTTCCAATTAACTTTTTCATTTTTTCTTTTTTTTTTTTTAATTGTGATTTGGGTGAAAGTTTACAGAGCAGATTGATTTTCCATAAAACAGTTAATACACATTTTGTTTTATGTGATTGATTTCAATCCTCATAATGTAACAGCTCTCTTCTCTTACCACTTCCTCTCTGTGGATACCTTTTCCCTGTGTCCTTCTTTCCTATGCATTCCTGCCCTCTGAGCTATCTCCCTGTGCAAATACTGCCCTTCTGATCTCCCATGGTTGATTGTTCTACAGAGTGTACCTACCTAGTATAAATATTCACCTTATATACCTGTCTATTGTTTGTCTGGAAGGCATACGAATGAGTTCAACACCAGGCCTGAAAGGTGACTAGGGGACAGACTCTTTGTGGTTTCCCAGTCTCTATCACAACAGTAAGCCTGGTCTTTTTATGATTTTGAGTTTTGTTCCACATTTTCCTCCCACTTTATCCAGGATCTCCTGTACTGATCCCATTCTAAGTGGTTGACAGTGGTAGCTGGGCATCATCTAGTACTAGTGTCAGGGTCACATAGGCTGATTCACATGGTCCACTAGTCTTTTCAACTAATTGTTTCCATGTGTCTTTGGTTTTCTTCCTACTTCTTTGCTCCTTACAAGGAGAGGTCAATCATTGTATCTTAGATGGCTACTTGTAAGCTTTTAAGACCCCAGTTACTACTCACCAAAGTAGAATGTAAAACAATGTTTTTGTGTGGTACACTATGACAATCCATCTTGATGTCCCTTGCAACCAAGCCAATGGGCCCAACAACTCACTCCCTCAAGGTGGTTGGCTGTGGCTAAAAAGTTATCATAACTTTGCCCTGTATTAGCAGTATTATATATATGGACATTCTTATAGCACCTACAAATATGTATGTAGAAATATCTGACAAACACATATACGGTCATGGGTATATTACTTTTTACCTAGACATACCTGAGCATTTAGCCTGTCTACCTATGTGTCTTCCCATAGATTAATGTTGGTTATTAGTGATAATGCTGTATTGCATATACAAAAGTGTTTATCTTTGTTATCTGTACCTCTTGTGCACCTCTCAGTGCCTTCCTTTTTCTTAGTGTTATTATGTTGGTCACTTGCTTTTAGTATATTGCCTTTCCCTTCACCCAAACACTGTTTAACATTAATGGAGATCCAAGGATCATCAAACAAACGAGATAAATCTCTAATATAGAAAAGAGATACTAAGCAAACTTCACAAGAGAGCACAGAGGAACCAGAGACAGCATAGTGAATAAAGCCTTAAATAAGAAACAAGAAGTCTTGGGGTTTCAGAATCTTTGAATTTAACACCATACAGTGGCTAAGGGTATGTACCAGGAAAATACCAGTGCAGCAGGTAGAGAGAAACCTGCAGAGACAAGAGCAGGTGTGCAGAAGGCTTGAGAGAGAGGCTTCTGTGGGGAAACAAAGTGGGGGAGCCAGATAGGTTATATTATATACTTGAGCATTAGGAAAATGATTCTAATATTTTAGAAAAAGAGCATTAGGCACATACAATTTCAAGGAAACTAAAAATATGAGGCATTATATTATATAAACCAAAAGGAACTTTGGGGCACAGTGGTTAAAGCATTTGGCTGCTGACAAAAAGGTCAGTGGTTCTAACCCACTACCCACTCTGCTGAAGAAAGATGAAGCAGTCTCTTTCCATAAAGATTACAGCCTTGGAAACCCTATGGGGCAGTCCTACTCTGTCCTGTAGGGACACTATGAGTTAGAATTGAGTTGATGACAATGAGTTTTGTAGTCTTATTATTACCAAATTGCAAACAAAGGAAACAACCATGTACTAATAATGTCAGAAATTTAAAAATTAAATCAGATTAATACTAAGCTAACAAATAAAATAAACATTATATGTAAATATATTGGAAAGATGGGGGATTAGGAGTTGAGCAGGATGTAAAGGTTCAATTAATCATAGCAGGGAGTCAAGAGATAAAATCAAAATTCTTTGGATCAAGAAATAGCTACATATTATTTTACAAATATATATCCTGCTACCTATAACGAATCCCTAATAAAAAGTAGAAAAAGGTAGATGAATAATTGCATGATCATAGGGTAGAGAATGCTATCTTTTGGTAACTGAATGGGAGTTGCTAGAAAAAGGACTAGTTGGTCATAATAGAGTATCAACATGTGTCTTTTTTAACTCACTCACTACCATCATGTCAATTTGACTCATAGAGATTCCTCCATGGGTTTCTGAGGTAGTATCTCTATGGAAATAGATTTCCCAGTCTTCCTTCCAAGAAGTGGCTGGTGGATTGTGGGTTTGAACCTCCAGCCTTCTAGTTAACAGTCAAATACCTTAGGCACTACGCCACCAGAGTCCTATGTGTCTTTTTAGACTATATGTATATAATCTCTGTGATAAAAACTAATTTATAGAACACTATAAACAAAATAAAGACAATGAATAGACAAAGAGTTGATATATAAAATATATAAAACATGGTTACAAAGCTATAAAGCAAAAGTGAAAAAAAGAAAAAAAAATGTCCAAAATATTAATAGCCATAAAATAGAGAAAAATATTACACATGATTTGTAGCTAACCCTTGCTCATTCTATCCCAGTCCCACTGGCCTTCTGACAAGTTCTCAGGTGAGGGTCTTTTCATTTGGATTTCATTCAGAAAGAATTCATCCCCATCAGCCTCTCATTACCCTCTTCCTTGCTTCCATTTTTTACTACAGCATTTTGACCACCTGCAATATTAATTTACTTGTTTACTGTTTATCTTTCCCATTAGAGCAAGGATCATTTGTTCCGTTCACTGGTCTATTTCCAATGTCTAGAACAATGTTTGCCATGCAGTATATGCTAAGTAACATATTCTTTGCAGTAACATTTAAAATGGAATTAACTGGGAAGTCCTCCAGTCAGCAATTGGTCAGTAAGTTAATAAATGTCCTTAGAATGAGATGAACAGTACGTTGTAGCTGAATATTTAATGGCATAGCAACATGGTCATGATTTATGGCAAAGTGGAAAAAATTCTCTCCATACATGTGTATAGTTATTGAATTCATAGTATTTATATATATATAAAGCAAACATAAAACAGAATCAGAAAGATGAGAGAAAGCAAAAGAGGAAGACGGAAGTGGGGAGTAAGGGAGATTCAAAAAATAGCAAAGACGGCAAAGAGAATGAAGAGCAGGAAGAGGAAGAGAAGGAGGAAGGAGGAAGGAGTAAGATCATTTAAAAACAATATATTAAGGAGCTCTGGTGGCAGAGTGCCAAAGGCATTTGACTGCTAATCAGAAGGTTGGCTGTTCAAACCCACCAGCCACTCTGCAGAAGGAAAACTGGGCAATCTACTTCCATAAAAATTTGTTGTTGTTGTGTGCCGTTGAGTCGGACCGACTTATAGTGACCCCTCCTTGGGTTGCCAAGGCAGTATCACTACAGAAGTAGATTGCTCCATCTTCCTTCTGAGGAGTGGCTGGTGGGTTTGAACCACCAGCCTTCTGGTTAACAGTCCAGTGCCTTAGGCACTACACTACCAGAGCCTTGGAAATCCAAACGGGATCACTATGAGTAGGGAATGACTTGATGGAAGTGAGTTTGGTTTTTGTTTTTTATGTTAAGAGTGCTTTCAACAGTGGTGATACTGCAGATTATTTTTGTTGACTTCCTAATGAGTTTCTCTAGTTTCTATGACTTTCACAAGTACACTCAGTAGTTTTCCTATTGATTTTTTTTTTTCAATTTTGCATTAAAATGCACCTAACCTTCTCATTCTTTAAGTATTTATCATTACAAAAGGCACTAACCTTGAGTAAGATGTGGGTCAGCAATTTGAGAACTACTTAATAAATAGTTCCTAAGTGACACAGTCAAAATATATAGTCACTTACTTTGTATGATCCATCGATGGCCGGTGGTTTTCTTCCCCATGATGAATACTCTTTCCATTACCAAGACCCCACTTGAATATGTTAAAATCTTGAAATAAATTTACTGGGATTGGCTGATACCATTTACACAGGTTTCGTTTTTCAAAGCTGCAAACTTCCGTAACTTAAGGTGGGTGGAAAAAAAGAAAAGATAAGCTAATCACAATAAATGTGTTAATAAATGGCATTTTCTCTGGTAGCATAGTGCCTAAGGCACTTGACTGCTCACCAGAAGGCTGGTGGAACCACCAGCCACTTCCGGGAAGGAAGATGGGGCGATCTCCTTCGGTAGTGATACTGCCTCGTCAACCCAAGGAGGGGCCACCATGAGTGGGGGCCGACTCTACGGCACACAACAATCAGCACCAGCATCTCTTACTCTTGTTTTGTTTTTATTGTAAACTCTAACTTTTAAGCATAGTCAGAGTAATTAAGCAATCCATCTATATAATCACTATCTTAAAGAAAGCGGATTTATTATATTCAAATATAAGGCGTAAATGGAATATAGGATTAATGCATATAGCATTTAATCATTCTGCTTTCATAAAGAGGTGAGATTTTAATCAGCATCCTAAAGCAACAGTTTAAGCATTGCCAGTCTCTTCTAACAGAGCAGTAATATTGCTTGCATGACTGATTACTAAATTATTAAAAGTCGAGTCTCTTTTCTTCCCCAGCAATATTCCAAAGCTGAACTTTAGCTCAGTCTCTGAAGGGATTATTCTAAATTCTGATCTATTTAAATTCAATTTAGGATATTTATAATGAATTTTATATTGGACCTTTTTCCCTGTAAGTTTTCAAGATTCCTGTAATTACTATATTATAAAATCACAGGAAATTACAAGCCCAGTAAGTTTTCAAATACATAGGTTGGTTGTATATAAAAAAGCTTAGTGAGTTTGTTCTCTTCTCTTCTGAATATGCTCATGTCTATCTGTCTGTCTTAAATTCTCCCCTCATTGAATTAAAAAAAAAAAAAAATTCAATGAATCCTTTTACATTCTATAGAGAACCTGGTGATCATATTAGTTGTTTTAATGCACTCTGATTTTTAAATGACATAAACAGTGAAGGAATAATATTACCCGTTTAGAACTTTGAGTTCATGGTTTAAGTAAATTTAGAGGAGCTGTTCCCTCAAAATGCTATTTAATCATGGCATTCAGAGGTGTTATTTAATCTGATAGTAATATAGATTATATCATTATGTTAACATTTGTGAAGAGATATAGGATTCAATATAATAGCATTAACATTTCTCATATCTGTAAAAAGATAAAAAATTTACATTTTTTAAAAAAGATGAGAAAAAGATTATTGAACATAAGCAGATCTATCATAATATTCTATCTTATTTTGAGATGGAGAAGGCAATGTCATACAGTTTAGGCATCAAAAAATGGTAATAATTTAATTAGTGTTTATTCTAAAACATCCCCATGATTTAAAAATAGTATTTTAATGGTAGACACTCAATTAGGAAATCTAAGGAATTCATTAAAACTTCTCATCCAATCATAAATGACATTACTAAAACTGTAATATCAAAGATGTTTGAATTCACTAAAGATACTCCCTGTTGTTGTTGTTGTTATGTGCCGTCGAGTCAGCCGACTCATAGCGACCCCTCCTTGGGTTTCCGAGGCAGTATCACTACGGAAGTAGGATTGCCCAACCTTCCTTCCGAGGAGTGGCTCTAGTAGTAATTAATTATATTTTATATAAAGTTTCAAAAACTGTACAACTTAAATATGATTGCAAGAGGACTGTAGTGTCCTCCCATGAGAAAGTATGAATACCACAACATCTTCCATTGCATTATCCTCCATCTGTGGTACACAGCATAATACCCTAACTTGAATTAATTACCATCCCATCTCATTCACAGTGAGTCACTATCACCTTTGATTTAATCATTTTCTTTAGTTTCCATTAGTTAGTTAATTTATGTTGGATATATAAATTAAGTAGCCCCTCCCCCAAAAAAATCTACCCTTCATTAAAAGAATAGAATATGAACCTTGCATGATATTTTAAGTCCTAGGATTTCTTCACAAAGCTGATATAAAATAAGTAAGAGTTCCACTATACTGTGTATTATCAGTATGTTTTGGATCCAATGATGATATTATCAAAACACTTGAGAAATAATATGTTGTTGTTGTTGTTGTTATGTACCATCAAGTTGGACCCAACTCATAGCAACCCCTCCTTGGATTTCCAAGGTGCTTATCACTATGGAAGTAGATTGCCCAACTGTCCTTCCAAGGAGTGGCTGGTGGGTTTGAACTGCCAGCCTTCAGGTTATCAGTCAAGTGCCTTAGGCACTATGCTACCAGAGCTCCTGAGAAATAACATGTTGTTGTTTGCCACAGATTCAGACCTGACTCATAGCGACCCCTCCTTGGGTTTCCAAGGCAGTATCACTAAGGAAGTATGCCCCGTCTTCCTTCCGAGGAGTGGCTGGTGGGTTTGAACCGCCAGCCTTCTGGTTAGCAGTCACGTGCCTTAAGCACTACACCACCAGAGTTTCTGTGTTCTTGAATAAGAATACAGGTTATCTATTCAACTACAAAAGAAGTGTCTTAAATGAACAAAGAAGTGCAAAAAATTACAAAATATTTATTCCTTCTGATGTGGTACTTCACCCATTTAAATACAGATTAATTGTTCTGTTCTCTTAGCCTTATCTTTGACTGTGAAGTTCAGTTTTGAGTTAAATAATTTGTCTTTGATTCATTTAGGAAAAATAGCAGGTTGGCAAGTGCCAATAAATGAAAACCATCTTTCACCAGGTCTCTCAGTTGTTTAAAGTTCCATCTATATTAGAAATAGCTTTCTCATGAACTGCATATTTGACATAACATTTCTTATATTTGTACATTTAGGCAATGGTAAAATTTGCATAAATGTTTCCAATTTGCTGTTATTATAATACTGAGCAGAGAAGAACTCAAAACAACTCACTGCCATTGAGTCGTTTCCAACTCATAGCAACCCCCATTGGTTTCTGAAACTGTAAATCTTTACAGAAGTAGATTTCCCAGTATTCCTTCCATAGAGTAGCTGGTGGGTTTGAAATGCTGACCTTCTAGTTAGCTGTTAAGCCCCTTATCCACTACACCACCAGGGCTCCTAGTAAACTATAATCCTGAAGTCAAGTCCATGAAGACAATGTTCCCCAAAGTTTCCTCAAAACTCCTGAAATAGGACCAAATGCAGGTCCCTGACCAGTGTGCAGTCAGGCCAAAACAGTTTACACACTGGGTATTTAAGAGGAGAGAAAATTATTTATTGTAAAAGCAGCAATGCAAGGAGGCAGGGGTCTTTTACCCAGATCTGACTCCCTAAATCTAAATCAAATTATAGTTTTTATAAGTTTCAGAAGGGAGGGTTATATACATTCATAAAAATTTCAGGAATTTGGGAGTGAGATATTTGGAAACTGGCTGAAATTTCCTTTGCCTCGGTTTAAAGGGACAATCTTTTTTTTAATTCGGTGTGCCTGCACACCAGATGAGTCACACTGGCTTCCTGTCATCAGCTGATTGGGGCTTACGCAGAGGGGAGAGTGTCAGTTCCCAGCAACTTTGTTCTTCTCTGTCCCACTGTGTATGTCAGTGGGCCAAAGTTAATTTTCAAGTTGTTTTCTAAGACACATTAACGTGTTTATCACCTATTTCTAGGGGAATAGCAGGAAAGAATATGCAAATTGGCTTTTTGTTCCATTCAGTTCTTAAGGAACTTAGCTTATTGTATTTACTCATCTGTCTCCAACTGGGGTCCTATGTCTTAAGCAGGGGCAGGAAATAGTTGAGAGTAATTATGTGCACTTATTTTATTTCCAACCAGGGTCCTATCTGTCCTAACCATTGGTCCTAATCAGGGTGGGGGAAATAGTTGAGTTTTGACTTTACTCAGTTTCACTCCTACCAAGAGATTCAAAATGGCCCTAGAAGTTTTAGTGATGGATGGTCGAAAAAGGAAAAGATAGTATTCATTCACATATATTAATAGCTCAACTGATATAATTGTTTAGCATATTTTTATTATTGGTCCAAATATTTATTTATAGTCTATAATTGGGCAATATTGGTTTGGGGTAGAAAACTGTCTTTACCTTGCTCATCTCAGATCAAGTATCTTGCTATTGTTATATGCCATTGAGTCAGATCTGACTCATAGCAACCCCTCCTTGGGTTTCCGAGGCAGTATCACTACGGAAGTAGACTGCCTCATCTTCCTTCCAAGGAATGGCTGGTGGGTTTGAACTGCCAGCATTCTGATTAGCAGTCAAGTGCACTATGCTACCAGCGTTCCCTCTCAAGTATAGGAAATAAATAACTTTCTCCTCCAGGAGCATAACCTGTAGGCTATTCTAACTCACACTCAGACTCAATCTCCTATCAGCTTTACGTAATCCAAAATATTACTCCAAAAGCACTTATCTCTTGTTGGCCATGACAGAAGAATACATGCTGATTCTTCCATAATTTTCTATGCAAATAACTCTTTTTGAGAAATTGCTCTAAGCCAAGTAAAACATTTCAAACTATGATGTTAGGCAATGCTACTTTGAGGTTGTTGTTGTTGTTGTTGTTGTTGTTGTGCCATTGAGTCAGACTCGACTCAAAGCGACCGCTCCTTGGATTTCTGAGGCAGTATCACTACAGAAGTAGATGGCCCCACCTTCCTTCCGAGGAGTGGCTAGTGGGTTTGAACCACTAGCCTTCTGACTTAGAGGTTACACTGTTGTTGTTGTTGTTATGTGCCATCGAGTCAAACCCGACTCATAGCGACCCCTCCTTGGGTTTCCGAGGCAGTATCACTACGGAAGTAGGATTGCCCAACCTTCCTTACAAGGAGTAGCTAGTATTTTCTTATCTATTTTACTGCTATATTTAAAACACAATTTAGGAATTCACGTACCACAGGATGATTCGTCTGATTTGTCAGGGCAGTCATGTCTAAAATCACATTTCTGAATTTTTCCAACACAGTGACCACTGGACCTGCAGACAAATTCATAGTCTGTGCAGTTGTTTGGGGGTAATGTTACTGGAACAGAAGTTTCTGGTGGAGTTGGAAGGTTCACTGGCAAATTACCTTAATAAGAAATAATATATAGAAATCAGTTGGCAGAATTTAAAGTTTTTTATAAGAGATTTTGCACAATGAAACTTTTCTAAGTATGCTTGCTATATGACCTTATAGGTAGTGTTTGCTAATCTAATTAACTCCTTTATGTAAGCATATAAATTAGGGTTCTTGCTCTTAAGAAATGGCAAATAACTTTGGATATCAATGATGAAACAGATAGGTAAGAATTAGTGAAAATTTTTTCAGAGCTCATTGAATAAATGAAAGGCCAAAAGGCAGTGTTTGAAGATCAGCAGGAATCAAAATAGTTCCATTCTGGCATTAGGTACCAGAGTCAAAGTCCAATTAAACTTTCTAGTCCACAATGAAAATAAAATCTGTGCTTCCACTATTACAATGACTCCAAGTTTCAAACATGTCCTAATATATTATATATTTAAGATTCAATTTTGCAGGAGGTATCCAAGCCAAAAGTACTCATGTATAAGTATTTGAACAATGAAGAATATAATTTCTGAAATTACAGAGGTTGAAAAAAAATGCACACAACTACATGAATTTGTACATTAAGTGAATATACATTTATTGATGACATTCATGTTCCCTGTACATGATAGTTGGTATGAATCTAAAACCAAACATACCAACTCTGCCATAAAATAGTTTACAGACTAGTGGACATAGCAGTCAGATAAATGTTTCATTTCAGTTTTGTTGATAAATTTCTGATGGAGATTATGAATCATGGAAGCAAGAATACCAATCCATTCCCCCATATCCACAGCACAAATTACAAACCACGTTGCATGGTAGCCACATAATTATTGACAGCTGAATGAGTGGATGAATGAATGGATGGAAGTAAGGAAGTATAGATAAATAGATGGAATGATGGATGGATGGACACAAAGATAGATGGATAACAGAGTGAATCAATGAATAGATGAATGAATGAAGGATTATAGTGTATTAAAAGAATACAGAAAAAGGCTTATATAAGATGGGAGTCAGTGAAGTCTTCCTGGCAATGTCATGTCTAAACTAAGCTTTAAATTTTAAAAGATGATTAGTTACTAGCTAAAGAGGGCTACAAGGTCTTTTTGAGAAATAAGAAAAACTTTACAAAGATGGAGAAGTACAGGGGCCTGTTGTTTTTTGTAATACCATGAACATTTGGAATGAAGAAGATCATATAATATAGTAAGAATGCATTTGTTGGTATTGGGTATGGGACTAGAGAGTAATGGTTACCAGCTCATAAAGGGAAGATGAAAACAACAAAGAAGTTTGAAATAAAAACTAACAGCTGTGCAGAAATTCCAATACATGATAAAATTTTCACTTCAAGAAATATTTTAGTAGTAGTGTAGAAGATGTATTGGAGGTGGCTCTGACATGGAGAAGAGAGACAAGTTAGAATTTTTTCATAATCCTGGCTATTAATAACCCAAATAAAAAATGTTTTGGAGGGAAGGGCAAAACATGAGCAATATTCACCATACTTGTTGAATCTGTATGCTGACCAAATAACCCAAGAAGATGGACTGTATGAAGAAGAATGCAGCATCGGGATTGGAGGAAGACTCATTAACAACCTTAGATATTAATGAAGATCAAAAATTAAAGCTTTCAACTTGAATTACACCTCAATATAAAGAAAACTAAACATACAACTGGACCAATAAGCAACATCACAACAAATGGAGAAAAGAGTGATGTCATCAAGGATTGCTTTGTACTTCTTTCCACAATCAATGCCTATTAAAGTAACAGTCCAAAATTCAAATGACATATTGCCCTGGCCAAATCTTCTGCAAAAGATCTCTTTAAAGTGTGAAAATGTCACTTTGAAGACTAAGGTATGTCTGACCCAAGCCATGGTATTTTCAATAGCCTCATACGCATGTGAAAGCTGGATAATGAATATGGAAGACTAAAGAAAAATGGATGGCTTTGAATTGTGGTGTTGGTAGAGTATTGAAAATGCCATGGATTACCAGAAGAATGAGAAAATCTGTCTTGGAAGTACAGCTATATTGCTCCTTAGAAGAAAGAATGCCAAACTTTGTCTCCTGTACTTTGGTCATGTTATCAAGAGGGACTAATCCCCAGAGAAGGATATCATACTTGGTAAAACAAAGGGTCAGTGAAAAAGGGATAGACCCTCAATAAGATGGATTGACACAGTGGCTGCAATGATGAGCTCAAGCATAACAAAGATTGTGAGGATGGTGTAGGCCCTGGCAGTGTTTTATTTTGTTGTGCATGAAGTCCCTATGGGTCAGAATTGACTTCATGGCAGCTAACACCACCACCTATCTAAAGGACTGGGGATTTGGGCTCTGTGGGAAATTTGAGAGAAGTTAAATAAACAGTACTTTATCCCAGTTCAAATTCTGAAGTAATTAAGAACTAAAACTGAAGTAAATGGCACATAATAAATGAAAATATCAACTTTTAGCAGATGAAGTTGATACTTAAGGAAAAGACTATATCTGTAGATGAGAGATCATCCAAAGTGTGAAATCCAGAAGTGAATATACCCTCTAAGTTTCAAATTTGCTACATGACTTCAGGCCTTCCTGTATGGTAGAAGAAATCTACTACTGTGAATTATCAGGGTTCATGCATCCTGAAGCTAGCCAGCTCCAAAAGGAAATGAAGAAATGCATGATAATTTTCTCCTTCCAAACTCACCAACAGGAATAAATAAGACAGTGAAGAGAGACCAAGAATGTTAAGCTACTGGAGCTCAATCTAAATGGAAAGAGAGACATGGACCAAGAAAAAGGATCCTGACACAAGACGTATGACTAAGAATGACTCCAGATTTCTGGCTGGGATTAATAAATGGGTGATTATTCCATTTTCTAAAATATATGTGAGAAGGAGCTGGTTTGTTGTGGGGGGGAGGGCAATTTCTACCTCAAGACAGAAAATCAACTATAATAGCCCAAAAGATAAACCCTAGCAAACTAGAGAGTGCACCTCCTTGGGGTTGGATGGCATCACTTCTGTCACTCAGCTTTTGGGTGGCAAATATCCTTCCTCAGTCTGAAACATATCTTTCTATTTTTTTACTGTACCTTTCAAAATAGAAGATTTTAATGTCTTCTAATTTATCATTCACTTCATTTATGATTGTGATTTACGGTCTCACTGAAGGAAAAAAAAAAAAAAAAAAAACCTTCCCTATCCCAACATCATAGATATTTCTATATTTTCAGGAAATTTTGATAATTTTACTTTTCACATTTGAGGCTTTAAAGTTTTTAATGCATCTGGACTTTATTATTATATATTTCTTGTTATAAGAATATAAATTTAGGAGTTCTGGCAAGGTGGTGGAATAATAGGCAGACAAGCAACACAGACCCTCTGCAACAAAGCAATGAGAAACCAATTGAAATCAATGCAGAAGACAATTCTGGAACCCTGAGCTTTGAAGGGAAGGATAAAGAAGTGGATTAAATATCAACTAGTAGAAGAACTTGAACAAAAACAGTGAGTAAGGAGACAAATGGATCTGTGGACTGCGGGCTGTTCTGAGCCACGGCCATTTTGAATATTTCCCAATAGCAAGCTAATAATCAGCTCTGCTTTTTTATATTTCCAAGTTTGCCTGCTATTATTTTTTTCTCAAAAATTCCATTCTATTTTCTTAGAACATGGGATCCTTCTTTAATATTTTAAATTACTTTTATACTACTTTTATATTGTTGAATAATAAATTACCTCAACCTTAGCATTTTAAAATATTAAACACTTATCATTTCATATTGTTACTGGAGTCTTGAATTGAGGTTCTGGCTCAGAGTCTTGTAAGATTACTGTCAAGATGTCAGCCAAGGCTTCAGTCAACTGAAGGCTTGACTTAAGTTGGAGGATCTGTTTCCAAAGTTTCTCACTTTGGAAGTGATGCTTGGCAAGTTACTTCTGGCTGTTGCCAGCGGGCCTCAGTTCCTGACTTTCTACACAGAGTTACTTGAGTGTCTTTTTGACATGACTGGCTTTCTCCAGAGTGAGTGATCCAAAACAAGAGAGAAAAAGTCTAGCTTTAGAAATCATACACTGCCATGATCACAATATCGTACTGGTAACAATATGGGAGCAGATGGCACATAGGGTGTGAACATCAGGAGATGGGGATCTTTTGGCAATATTTTGAAGGGTGACTATCATAATTTTTAGCATTAATTTTACTTTTTTGTTCAGATTTTTATTCTCATTTTTGAGGTTTTATTTCTTATGTATGTGGTATCTGCTCATTCACATATGTGGTAGTTTTTTTTCTATGTATACTTTATACTTATTTTTACTGTGAGCAGGGTTTGATTTTTCTGTGAGAATCCTTTGTCATCTGGCTTGTAGAAAAGTTCCTCTAGATTAAATTTTGAATTATTTCTGCTGCGACCTTTCTGGACTTCCTCTTCCCCCTCTTCCTTCTCTCATCTATTCCACATTCTTTTAATCTCTAACTCTGATAATCATATTATGCTTTCTATTTTATTTTTTCTACATACTCTTTGCTTCTATCACAAAGGAACTTCTCTACTTTAATATCAGTTTGACATTTAAATGAATACATGTTATATTATACTTGACATTTCTGGGTGTATGTAATGTTACCATTTTCAGGTCATCTATATTAAAAAAAATGCAGTCTTAACTGCATTTTTAGGGCTGATTTCACCTTAAATTAGTCAACAATCTTATTTATGAGGAAATCATTGATATGTTTTGGATGTCTTAGAAAAGGAGGTTGAACCTCAATAACAAAAAGACAAACAATCCAATTAAAAAATGGGCAGAAGACATGAATAGACACTTTACCAGGGAGGATATTCAAGCTGCCAACAAACATACGAAGAAATGCTCACGATCATTAGCTATTAGAGAGATGCAAATCAAAACAACAATGAG